CCGCGAATATTTCTCGCCGCGAACCGGTCCTTAAAGTCTCTCTTTCTATTCACAACAGATCCAAAAAAGGCTTGATCGCGAAAATTAATCGTCGCGAACTAGTTTACCCCCGGTAAATCGCGAAATAAAGTCGTCGCGAATAAAAGTTAGTTTACAGTAGATCGACAGATTGCAGAGATTTAAAAACTTTTTTTCTTTGATTTGTCTAAAGGCCACGGAATCCAATCAAAATATGCAAAAAGAAAAACAAAAAAAGTTTCACAAATGCTAACGAAATATATACGTAAATCTTTACTAATTGTTTTTTTCTGCAAATTGGGATCGCCTTTACTTAGTCTATGAAGCGTAAAGTGGTCTGCCTGGTTGACAATATAACGCCTTTTGACGTATTCCTTACATTCACGGCACGTTATTACAACCTTAATTACATAATTTGTCACTCTGAGAAACTTACTGTAATGCTTTAGTTGTTAAATAAGAATTAGTTTATGAAAATATCCCAGTGCATATATAACACACAAATACAAAATAGAACACATGAAAACATCGCGTTCTCTGAATGTATGTTATAAATGCGACATGCTCCTGTATACATGAACATGGTATATCAATTTTGTAAAATGATTTTTCTTGTCATTCGAGTCATAACATCTTCGGGAGCATTTACTGTATATCATTTACTACATTCAGCTTTTTATATAACAAATGGTTCATCTCTGAAGAATTATGAAAAGTTTTTAATCAATGTTTTCAATTTCAGATAAAATTTTAGTATTTTTATATAGAAAACAAAGAAATAAGAAAGCTTAAAACCTATTACGTATCTTCATAAACTTTCAGTGTGATAGTTTTGGTATTTTTCTAATAAAAACCCTCCTTTATCTATTTTTATTAAATTTAAGTGTAATGCCTATATATGTCCTGTTATTTATGTCTATTTGTATAACGAGCGATTTCCATACCACACACGATATTCATCTGAATCAGGATGAGCTAAATTTTAAGTACAAAGGGGAAAACCTGACCACTGAATGCGAAATCGACACGGTAACATCTACCAATCGTGCCCACGCTCTTTGCAAATGCATTTTAAATAGATCAACAACTTTTAAAGTCTAAGTAAAAATATTTTTCATAATAATTTAAAAAACACACACACACACATATTGCAGAATTTCATTGAGAGAGAACGCCATGAAATACAGAATATATTTTGTTTTATTTGAAGGAAATGCAGAACACTAAAAAAATATTTTCTTGTGTATTTGTGTGTTGTATATGCAGTGTGTTTGTAATATTTTCATAAGCAAATTCTTATTTAACAACCAATTGCAACGTATTGCATTTTTTTTCTTCAATATCATGTGATATATATTATTTTTAATGAAAAAGGGCCTGAAGACATTTTCTTATTATTCATTAAATAAAATTTGCTTTAGTAAATCTTCCTTTGGAATCATTAGAAGCTAATCTTAACTAATGATTTAAACAAATTTGCACATTCACACATGACAACAGCATCCATGCATTCGTTTGATATTTCAAAGGGAAAGGAACAAATATAATACATAGGGATATTATATTTGATTCGTGTTGGGTCAATAACCTCAACTTTTGTTTTCAAGACACTTTTAATGATTTCTTGCAAAAAAAACATTAACAAAAACGCAATTATGGAAACTAGGAAAACCCACGCCCATCTTTCATCGCTTGCAGATTTTTATTTAAGAAAGTATTAACCACTTAATTTTCTTGTGCATGACAAAAGTCTTTCTGTGTTATTTGTTATGGAAATGTATTCGACACTGACCTATAATCAACAATGCCGAGGATTTTATTACCTCGTCTAATTTAAATTTAACACAGTTTTACATACTGTTTTCAAATAGAAAATAATGAATGTTGTGATAAACTTAATCAGGACAAAGGCACACAGCCTTTTTTTATTTGTTTTCAATTAATTGGGCTTCAGAAAGATTTAATTGGATGAAAAATCATTTGAATTGATTTGAAGCAATAAAAGTTGTACTGTTACAAATTACGCAGAAATCGTTATACTCGGCTATTACTATACCTTAATGAGCAATTACATCACATGCTATTTAGCTGAACATTGTGTATTTTTGTGCTATTAACATTTATCTGTCTTAAGATAAATCTTTTATTGGGTAAAGAAAATTCTTTCTCTTCCCTTATTTTTTTATTCCTAGAAAATGAAACTCTTTACATGAGCAGACCAAGCTATAATTAATCATCATCATATAGGGCAACGAATTAGGAAGCCATACCTGTCATACTAAAATGAAAAATTACATTAAAAAATATTCCTCCAATATTAACTTGCAAGTACAGTTGCAACACATGTTTTTGGTTGTTATATATTTTTGTGCTATTAACATTTATTTGTTTATAGATATATCTTTTATTGGGTAAAGAAAGTATTTTTTATGCCTTCATTTTTTGATCTCTAGACAATGGAGCCGCTAGCATGAGAAAACATGCCATAAATAATCAATTTCATATAGGGCAACTGATAAGGAAGCTTTCTATGTTATTCTGTAGGTAAGTATAACATTGAAAGATATTCCTTCAAAAAGCACTTTCAGGAAACTTCTTAGAGTCAAAATTATAGAAAATAGCGTGCACTGAAATTTTACTAAGTACATGTATTTTATGACTTTATGAGGTCATGCATATTGTTGACCTGGTAATATTTGGATAGCAGAAAATATCAATATCTTAATTAAGATCCCTTAATTGTAATTGCGAGACAAACATATCTTGTAGTATAATAAAAAGATCCTTTCACTACAAGTTTTTTTTTCTCACTCTTGCAAGTTCTTAAGAGATTTTTTTTTATTTTTGCGTTCATGTTCTGTTATCCAAATACGAATAACGAGACGTAATCAATATATGACCTCATAAAATCGCAATAACTCTCAAGAAGCCAATTAAAATTTCAGATTATGTAGTCATAAACCCACATTTTAATGTACAATTTTAGCAGGTTTAGTCAAGGTAACTTACCGTGAGAAGTCATTAGAGCTATTTCAACCCGACGTGATAACTTTGGCGCATCTCGACAAAAGTTCAATGCATTACTAAGCTGCCATTTACGTATCTTTTGGTGAGATGGCTCTGTACTGATTGCGGTTATTTTAATCTTTTTTTTTTAATTTAGTTTGTATATTGCAGGAAGAAATTACAACTGTTAAGAAAAAATTCTTAATAGATTTAATCATAAGTCCTGGATATAACAGCCTGAAGTCTCCGTTTCATGTTTTTTAATGAATGAAAATTTTAGTATTGTGAGAAAAATACTTGAGTATTCAAATTGTGTTTCTACGGTAATTAAAATAATCTCTAAAAAGATCTGTATAAGTGTTAGGGAAGTTTGTTTCTCTTGATGAAAAAAGTGACCATTGGTTACTATTTCCATGTATCAAGAAGACGATTGTGTACAAGGCGTTTGATAAAGTAATGAATTATTATTGCTAAGTTCTATATTAGTGTGAGGAAAGTTTGTTTCTCTTGATGAGAAAAGTCTCAAAAGGGATCATTAGTTACTGTTTCAATGTATCAAAAATAATGCTCCATTTCTAAGTATGATATGCTATATTAAAACGATTCATCGTTATTTTGACAAATATTTACTGAATGCATGAAACTTTTATTTTCTATAGGAGTTTATTGTGAAGTCGAGTAAGCTTTTCCAATCTTTCCAGAGCAGTTACCTCGATCTTACGTGAGTAAATTTATGTTATCATAATCAGAGTGGTGAAAATATTTCATGACTTCACAAGACATCTATGTTGACTGGAAGTTATATAGATAGCAGAAATGACCCACCATACTCATTACAAAATGTTTAGATAAGCATTGTACAACGATGTTTTGTTTCTTCTATTCTGAACTTAAGTTACCCCACTAGAACTTTACTTCAAGCGGTTCCATCTCATTTTGTAAAATTATTTCAGTTTAATTAAACTGCCAGGATAGCTGGTTTTAAGAATTTGATACATATGCAATATTCGAGTAAAAAAAAATTAACAATTTGTACTCATGCAAGAGTTCAGGCACATAAAACTTCACCTTTTACTAAGTTCTCGAATTCAAGAAACAATACATTGAAAGCCAATGAAATACACAATACAGCGATCAGACCGAATATTTCCTGCTTTTTCCAAATTAACAATATCCGTACTTGCACAACAATCGACGTAAATGTACGGATAAAGACTAATTTTCCTCGTTGTATAAAACAAACATGCACTCCTCTTTTGGAAAGTGCACATTGGAAAATGTACTACCATGTTTAATTATAAACCAGCTCATTCACAACTTATACGGAAACATCCCATTGAATATTTCTATAGCAAAACCGCCGAACCGCATTATCAATAATGTATTCCGTCATAGACGCATTCTGATTGGTCCATGGTGAACTCTCACCTTGTAAATCATTGGCCTTAATGTTGATATTTTCATTGACTTTCTATTTTCCGAAGATGAATACATATATTTTTTTTAATTCAAACACTTAAAATTCGTAATCTATATGTTATATAAGTGATAGTGCATTTAGTGAGTGGATTTATTGTTGAATTTTTTTTACAGAGCGAAATTTGTGGTAAGCTTTCATGAATAACTTTTTTGATATGTATCTTGTGTTTTATAAATATACATAGCATTTTCACTCTGTGATGTTAATATCAAAGCTGTTGATTTTTTTAAATTTAATATATTTTAATATATTTTGCTTGTAAGAAGTTTTACATGTAAGTAGGTGACACTTCGTATCTGTAACTTAGAGAAATAAATCATGTAAAATTAGTGAAATAAACATTTGAATGTAAATTAAGTTCCTTTAGCGACAGGAGATGAAAAATGACACGAGAAATTAACTTAATTAAAGATGTTTCAGTAGGTCATTGCAATGTAAGATTGTCCCTTTTTTGGTTTATATCAATATGGATTTACCAATTATTTTTCCAGTGTTTAAAATGGACGACTTTGAGTATGATGCCTTTGTGGTTTACAATCCCTTCGGAGAGGACCAGCAATTTGTCAATCTTATGACCAGGGTACTCACGTCCCCACCGTACAACCTCAGACTTTATGTACCGTGGTCTGATGAAGCCGAGGAGTCGCTGGAAGCCGTGGCCACTGCAGAAAGTATAGAAAAGAGGTAAAATTTTGTTAATGATTATAAACACCTTGAAAGGTGCTCTTTAATGTTAATTCTTATTTACCGTTTTCATAAACCTTCAATCTAAATAAAGTGTTTCTTTAATATAAATGATATTATAGCATTTTAAGAAAGATGATCAATCGTTGTAGGTGTAAAAAAGTGTTAGTTGTGATATCAGCAGCTTCTCTAGAGAGCGATTTATTCCATTTTCATCTAAAAGTTGCCCATTCTATGTCACCAGGTATATACATTATAAACATTTTCTTCTCAAAGGTTCAACAGTAATTTGATTTATTAGAAAAAACCACATTTTCTTTTGATGTCTAATTATGATGTAATGTATTACAAAAGAAATGATTGATAATCCTGAATAAAATTCATCCGATGGGCACTACTTTTTTGTGCAGGTGCTCGTAGAAGAAAAGTAATCCCTATTCGATTAGATCAAACTGAGGTTCCAGCTGTGATTCGCTTCACCACATCATGTGACTATTACAAAAGAGAACTCCGTGTGTTTGTTTGGGACAGACTCAACGCTGCCTTCACGGACAGTGATTATACATATAAATCTCGAGTCAGAAAAACAGCATCTCTTCCGGAAAAGAGGAAACTTCCGGACCTGATTCCAACCTCATCTCCTTTAAAACGTGTACAGTCTTGGTGGCGATTAAAGGTGTCTGTGATCTAAAATTCTAAAATACCCAATGATCACTAAATTTTAATTATTAGGTTGTAGTTTGATTTATCATATCATATACCACTGCTTATAAAGGATTGTGATTCGACAAAGTTCTGATCTTCAGTCTTTTTTGTTATAACCATGCTTTTGTACATGTATGTGTTAAAGTGTCTTCTACGGCTTATTTATATGCACAATTTATTCTGTGATAATTAATGTATACATCACACTATAATACAATTGTAACCTTTCCAATGTTAAAAAGTTTTCAGGGTCTTGTTTCCCTTTACTTTTGCTTGTATTGCAATAAATATAAAATTTGTTTTCCATGTTTTGAATCACAAATCACTATTTCAAATGACACGATGTGCAATTCAATATGTCAGACTTATACGTAACCTCGGAAACTTTAATGTTAGTTAAGATGCATCATGACTCTTATTTAATGACTGCATGTTCTTGGAATTTTATCCACATCCTCGATACCTGTTTGTAAAGCTAACACCGATTTGTTAATGTTTTAGTTTAAGGTTGGATCGAGGATGTTAAATATCCTATATGAAGTTTTAATTTGCTTTCATTAAATATAATTATAGTACTTATTTACAATGAATAATTCATCAACGTAAGTAAAACTTTAAAATGATTAATGCTTTTTTATCAAATAGATACTAAGAACCGTCAAATGGCCTGACAGAATTAGTGATGACTCAAGATATATTCACATATGATAAATTCTTTATTGCAAGCTCTCTCAGAACACAACGTTAATATTAAATTGATGGGCTATCAATAGGTTTATTGCCCGTTTCCTTCTATTTCTGTGTCTTCCTATGGTTGCAAGCGTTGAAAACAACAGAGCAGACAAAACTATATTTTCAACAAATTAATCAAATAAATCAATAATTGAATGATTAACTGTTTTCCGGAAACTTTTCAGTACAAGTTAATATGACAAGATTGGAGGAAATGTTCTTTTGAAAGATTACTAACTTTGTGCAGTATTTCTTAAACTATTTTTTTCCTTACAATTTATTTGCACCTATGTAAGAATACACCTTTGTATGTATAACTGACACTATTTGTTTATATTAATATCAGCATTGTCTAATGAACACTGCTTTTATGAGGTAACCGCGACCTGACTCTTTCATGAGACAAAAAAGTATGACTGGTGTTAACATAACGTCACTCCACCTTAATATTAATGTTGAAACGAAATAGACTGCTATCGTCATTCATTTACACAATTATCAATCTAAGCAAGTTTAGCACGGAGAAATTCCATTGGTCAGACTTTCTTGTATCTAATTATATCCCCTTTTGTTCTGGTTGTGTTTTATACACTTCTACAAGACTGCATTTGTGTAATGATGGCACATGTACTTATAAACTTTAACTTTTACCTTTATATATGCCTTTCACAATTCAGATATATCTAAATACACGTGAAATTTTTTTTTAGATATATTTGACTTTGTTTAATTAAAAAAAATTAATATTAGGTACATAAGCATTTAAATTGACAAGAATGGGGTAATCAAACTGTTCAAGTGTTCTTGTTTGAGTCAAGGTAAATGAGTCTCTACACAAACACTAAGAAGAGTTCCTTTTATTTTGCTGGTCTTTCTGATATGGCATTTCTCAATGTTTTACATGACTTCTGTTTTGTAGGTTACTGTGGAATCAGGTCGTCTGTGTGGCGCAGTGGTAAGAGCGTCTACTCTAGAGTCGCGGAGTAAGGAGTTGATCCTTACGTTGCGGGTTCGAATCCCACTGTGGGACGTGGAGACCGGTCCTTCGGATGAGACCGTATAAACCGAGGTCCCGTATCGCAGTAGGTGCTGGCACGTAAAAGATCCCTCACTGCTTAATGGCCGTATGTGCCTAGTATAGGACAAAATTTGCAGCTCTCCACCGGCAAGTGGTGGCGTCTCCATATGAGTGAAAAATTCTCGAGAGAGACGTTAAACAACAATCAATCAAACTATGGCATCAGCAATGACTGATGTACGTTGATTTCGTAGGTCATTTTTACCCTTGAATTTATAATCCATAGAACAATACCTTTGCATATGTATATATATTGATTGATTGTATGTTGTTTTACGTTCCGTTCGAGAATTTTTCCGTCAATTAGAGACGTCACCATATACCGTTGAAAGGCCTAAATTTAGACCTTTACTCGGCAGTCAGGTGCATTGAGCAGTGAGAGTTCTTTATCGTGCCAACGCCTACCGTAACAGGGGCTCAGTTTTAAAGGTCTCATCCGAAAGACCCGCAAATTTTATTTCAAAGTGCCGAGCGCTTGGCGAAGGAACAGTTGCTACCAATTCTTATCGACTAACGTCAGTCGCGGCCGTGATTCGAACACCCGACCTTCCGATCACGGAGCAAGCGCTCTGCCGACTTAACTACCGTGGTGACCCCTATGTATATATGTTATCCACGAAATAGCGTTCCCACGAACCAGTCAGATTTTGGTTGCCATCAAACATTACCCCCAGAACTCAAAATGATTCAACAGTATTTAATAATATAATATGAACATCCACGAGTCCTCAGAGCTAGTCATTTTTTGTAAAATATTGTTTAATAGTTAAGAAACAGGGTTGCTGTTCAAAGTACAATTTTTTCTTCGTACTATCTTTAGGACATACATGTAAAAGGTAAAATTTTTCCAAAGATTAGGAATACCACGAAAAGAAAAGGTATGGTAAAGGATGACACCGCGGCTGCTTGACTCATTAATACTCTTGGTGTGTTTGCAATTTTGTCAATAATTATTGTTTAAAATAATACTCTCACTATAAATGAAACTTAACGTTACGTATTTTATATTTAAAGAGAGATCCCCTATGGTCTAATATGTTTGTTTGTTCCTTTCTTTGTTTGCTTTACATCCCTTCGAGAATCTTTAACTCATGTTTGGACGCCACAACTTGCCGCTGGAGGGCTTCAATTTAAGACATTTCTTGGCACTTATGGTAGCAATTGAGCAGTGACTGATCTTTTTCGGTCCAGCACCTACTGCAACACAAGACTTTTTTATTAGTCTCATCCAAAGGACCAGTATCCAAGTCCCACAATAGATGCATAAGATCCATATAAGGATCAACTCTTTACTGCGTGACGTTCTAACCACTGCATCACGTGGGCGACGTTGGCTAACATGACCCTTCGTTTGACTTAAACAACAAAGTACCATTACAATTATCATAACTTGATGACTAAGATTCTTTAATGACAGCTAACCAAAATCCATTATTCAGTACTATTTACAGCATACTCAGAGGCAATAAGAAGATAATAGTTAAGATTTTTTTCGAATAACATTATCGTTGATGAATTTCTATGAGATGTGGGATTAATGCTTTCTAATATATAGATTTATTTCTCATGCCCGATTACATATGACTTGTAGTTTTGCTGTTAAATGTAACAGTTAGAACTATGACTGATTTTTACATCAAGCTATATTATTTGTTTATTCGTTACGTAAGGAGCAAGGATTAGAAGATTTTATATGTATCTCCTTACTAGCAACATAACAAAATGATCGTTTTGAAGATGAACCTTTAAAAAGATCAAGGATGTAAGGCTGTTTTGAGCTCTCAACTGATTGAACATTAAAACATATTGGTATAAGGTTATAACGGTTTGAAATAATTTGTTCATAATTACACTTGGATTAAAACCAAAATTCTTCATGCAGCATATTGTACAAAGGTGATTTATAGACCAGTTTTCCCCATTTCCCTCTTAATTATAAATTTTATATGACATTTTGGTACTTTTTCCCATGAAAATACAGGGCGCGAGCAAGATTATATAAAACGGTGCTTGTGATACAAGTGAATGAAATGTCAACTAGGCAGAAAACGTACGTCGATAAATATCGACAATTCCAGTTTTAACCGCGAATTGATCTATTAAGTGACTTAAACTCCATCTTCTTTTCTCAAAAAGAATCGCTTTGTTAAATATCCTTACCGTGTTCTGTGCTTTTTCAATTTAACCATAATATATAACAAACATTAAAACTGTCAGAAAATCAACTGCGAATAGTGTAAATATCGCTTTTTTATCGCGAGATCTTTACTTTGTGTAATTACGCGAGACCATATACTCGAGAGAATTTCATTCTGGCGTATATTTGTTTTATGAAATATTAAATACAAAAATTACCAAAATTCATGAAAAAAAAATGGCTCACTTATAAATACCAGATAATTTTCTCGCTAAAATAAAATGTCGCAAAACTTTCGCGATCTGCAAACGATGTACCAGTACCTAATATATGGAAGCGGCCAGTCTGCTTCCTAAAAGTATATAGCAAAAAATCAGATGTATTAATACCATGTTAGTTTTGCAAGTTTATCTTATTTTGTATTCTTTGCAAAGCCGTTTTGATTAAGAAATTAAAAAGTCATATTTTCATAAATCATTCAATGTCTGATTTTTATGAGGGAACTTAGTTAATCAAATTTTTCAAATGAATGAAAAGTTAATATTAAGGAATCGTGGAGTTTTATTAGTCCTGAAATAGCAACTTAATAATACAATCTGGAAATAAGGTCATAATGAATATTAATTTAAACATTCGAATTCTGCAATTTTAAACAAGCATTTGCACTGGAGTTTCCGTATGATTGTGTACGTGCCTTCCGTTCTATAATAGTGCAGCATGACAAGCACATCTTTAGACATGACATCCTTATGATTCCGTTTATAAATTTTGTAATAGTATATAAGACGAAAAACACAGAATATGATGAGAGGAGGAGAGAAATTCGCCTTTTCCAAAACATTCCTAGTGACGTTAAAAATTCGTTGGCTGTGCGACCGTGTTTGAATGTGGAGCATTTATGGTAAATATGCTCTTCTTTGCAATGTCTGGGCTTTTTTTTTTTTTGGGGGGGGGGGGGGGTTTACTTCTTGGCAGTGACCTTTTAATTGTACATGTGACAATAAACTGCATTTGTTGAAAACAGATTTGTTTTTGTTGTTCTTGTTTGGATTTTCTAGGAATAATAAGGAATTTCCTTTAAAACTTATTCTGAATAAATAATGTCTGAGAGTATTGAATCCGAAATGAAATCACGTGACTTACGCGAAAATGTCCAATATTCATCAGTTCATTAGTTCTACTTTATACTTTGCTGTAATACATATACATAATAGTTTGCTCACGACAAAAGTGCTACTAATAAAAAGTACATTGTATTTTTCCGTCGGAATGCTAACGAAGGGGGTTAACATTTTGCCAAC